GGAAGATGAGTAGAGGTGTGTGAGCTGAGGAGATGAGGGAAGAGGGGAGGTGGGAAGGTGTGTTAATAGCCATGGTTGGAAGTGACTGCGCCGACCTGAAGCAGGACACGGAAGACTGCACAGTACCAACAGGAACTTGGACTTGGTATTGAGAACCAGAATCTCTCCTTCTTAGGAGGAAGGCAGAAGCCTGAAAGGCTGGCACTCTCTCCCCGGGCCTGGAGGTGAAGCTCTGCAGTGTTCTTCACCTTTGTCCAGCCCTTCCCACCCCAGCTCTTTCCAGGATGTCATTAACTTCCTCTTGTTGTTTCAGATCAGGATGGTCATTGATTGTCCCAGCCCGAGTACCTCCAGGGCCTTCCTCTTCCTCTGCCTGCAAGCTCTCTGAGAAGGGTAGAGGAGTTCGGTCCTGCCCTGGTCCAACAAATCACATGCCAGGTTTCTGGCCTTCAGGCTCTCTCTTTTCTAAGCACTTTGCTGACATGACAAGGAAGGACATTCACTACCCTGTACTGGTGGTTATAGAGCCAGTCTTCTTTTTTTCTTAATTTAATTTTATTATGTTATGTTAATCACCATACATTACATTATTAGTTTTTGATGTAGTGTTCCATGATTCATTGTTTGCGTATAACACCCAGTGCTCCATGCAGAACGTGCCCTCTTTAATACCTGTCACCAGGCTAACCCATCCCCCCATCCCCCTCCCCTCCAGAACGCTCAGTTTATTTCTCAGAGTCCATAGTCTCTCATGGTTCGTCTACCCCTCTGATTCCGCCCCCCTTCATTTTTCCTTTCCTACTATCTTCTTCTTCTTTTTTTTTGTTTTTTAACATGTAACGTATTATTTGTTTCAGAAGTACAGGTCTGTGATTCATTAGTCTTACACAATTCACAGCGTGGAGCCAGTCTTCTAATGCAAGCAGATTCTTCCAACAGAAATACAACCTGACATTTGTTAAGCACTTTTTTTTTTAAAGATTTTATTTATTTATTTGAGAGAGAGAGACTGAGAGAGAGAGCATGAAAGGGGGAGGGTCGGAGGGAGAAGCAGACTCCCCTCCGAGCAGGGAGCCCGATGCGGGACTCGATCCAGGGACTCCAGGATCATGACCTGAGCCGAAGGCAGTCGCTTAACCAACTGAGCCACCCAGGTGCCCTTGTTAAGCACTTTTAATAAGCTAGGCACTTTTAATAAGCTAGGCACTTTTTTGTTTAAATTCCAGTTAGTTAATGTACAGTGTGTGTTAGCACATTTTAAAGATTTGCTCATTATGAAGATTTTTCACATGACAATCCAAGGAAGTGAATATTATTTTTATTTCAATTTTAGAGATGGAGAAACTAGGCTTACAATAGTTATACAACTTTCTTGGGTTAAGACAAAAATGGCTAATCTGGCTTGAACCAGGTTATTTTATTCCAAAGTGTTCCCTCTTAAGTACTGCACTTTATTGTTAAAAATTTACCCCCAAAAGTCTTTCTGTGCTCTAGATACGAATCCAACAAATGACCTTATCATAGTCTGTGTTTTATTATTTAAATTTTCATAATCAAGTAGATTAATGAAACACTGAGGTCAGTTTTACAGGTTCCTGATATTCAATTTGTAAGGTGAGATATAGTTTGAGTGACAGCTTTCACTTCTGTAGGACAGTTGCAGATTCGAGTTTAGTGGCTATTTAAATATTTATAAAATATTTAAAAATCAATAAGAAAAAAACAAAATCCGTTAACCCACAACCCCAAAATAACCAATCATTGGTAAAAAAAAAAAATGTGGAGTATGTTTTTGGCTATATATATGAGTGTTGTATATAGTAAATTCCATTGATTTTATAAACTGTTTTTTCCACCTTTTCTTATATCATCATTTTCTCACACTGCCTTAGATTTATAGGTTATATTATAATATTTAACACATTTTAAGCAATTGATCCTGTTCTTCAAAGTTCAAAACCTAAATTAGATAAATGTGAATTTGTTTGGTTGGAATAGTTCCCCACCCAATGGAATATTCTCCTTTTCTTTCCCGGGAACTCTTTTATTTATTTTATTATTTTTTTAAGATTTTACTTATTTGACAGAGAGAGAGAGTGAGAGCAGGAACACAAGCAGGGGGAGTGGGAGAGGGAGAAGCAGGCTTCCTACCAAGGTGCCCGATGCAGGGCTTGATCCCAGGAGCCTGAGATCATGACCTGAGCCGAAGGCAGAGGCTTAATGACTGAGCCACCCAGGCACCCCTCCCTGGGACTCTTTTACACTCTATAGACCACAGATAGAAAAACCATAGTTCTATGTAATCTTCTATAATGGCTCCACAGTATTTCATCTTATTGACACGTTACAATTTATTTAGCTACCCTTAAAGGGGCATTTATATTTTCAGAGTTTAGTTTTTGCTTTCTGCTATGATATGAACATATGGTTGTAACATGCATACCATGTCTACTCATTTGAATTATCTCATATTCTTTGTCCTTCCCTTCAAGAATGCTTTTATATTTTTGTAGATTTTTAATCTACAAAAATTTTTCTTTTCGTCATTAATTTTGTGGACATATTTTCACAAATGTAGTTTGCCCTTTCATGTTATGATGGGTTTGATGTTGAGGAGTTTTCAATGTTTAGATAATCAAACAAATCAAATTTTTTTTTCTGTATTATGTCCCTCTCCCTCTGCTCTTCGCCCCTGCCCCCTCTCCCCCACTTTCTCTCAAATAAATAAATAAATAAAATATTTAAGGAAAAAATGAGGAAAAGTCATGGAGCGCCTGGGTGGCTCAGTTGGTGAAGGGTGCGACTCTTGATTTCGGCTCAGGTCATGATCTCAGGGTTGTGTTAGATTGAGCCCCGCATCCCTCTGCCCCTCCCCTCCTCTTAAAAAAAAAAAAAGAGGAAATATCTAGTCTATCTTCCTAGAAGATTGAGTAACAGTCCCCCATGGATCTTTTATTTTTCTGAATGTCTTGCAAGTAGAGACACTGGCCGCCTTTGTTCTATCTTATCAAGAATGTTTTTATAGCAAAAATCCTAGGAAGATAGTCTTCCTTCAGAATAAAGGGCAGGCTTGTTTGCTGTTATAGTAAAGATAATGGCTCTCTCCAGAGTAAATATCAGGTAAGCTTACTTGCTCATTATGAAAAAACTGAGATCCTGAAGTTTGTGGGGTTCCTCCCCTGTAACACCACCTGCTGTGTATGCAGGTATCACCTGCCCCTCTTCACGGTAAAAACGGGGAGGAAGAACCAGTGCAGATCTGAGACTCTATGGTGATGTGATTGCTGTGTGTAATAAAGTTTTTTGTCTTGTGTTCAGGAGTCTAGTGTCTTCTGCAGTATCTCTGTGGCAAGCTGTCTCCTTATCTTACAAGGAGGATAAAATCACAGGCCCTTTGAAGTTTCTGAAACTGAAGTTCGGAGACATTTTGAAGTACGCGAGTCCACTTGATGGGAATCTTTTTAAGCAAGCTAAGTTTGCAGATCTTGTTTTGGGCTCTTGATTTGGGGAAAGAAGAAACTAAGGAAGGAGATGAATACCAGAAAGACCATCAAAAATGAGGTCAAGCTTTTCTCTGATGGATAACTCTGGAAAAAAAATAATAAAAGGAAAATAATGAGAGAGGTAGCAAAACACAAGACTGAAGGTGCCACCTGAATAGAATGCCAAAACTCTTTGTCATTGACTAAAGTCAGGTTACCTTGCAAAATGATAATTGTCATATAAATAATTTCTCTGTTTTGGAATATTATTGATATGACAGCACCAAATCAATAAACCCAGTAAAGGGGTTTTTCAGTATGACTCAAGAAATTGTCAGTCTTTTGGCATCTAGAAAATAATATGGTAAATGTGACAATTTAACATTTAATAAAATTTTAAATAGGAAATCACTCAAAAAAGTTATCAGAACTATTCAAAAAGTTGTGAATCAAGGCTTTCAGTTTTATTCATAATTTTTTTTATTTTTTTATTTTTAATGATTTCTTTTTTTTTAAGATTTTATTTATTTATTTGAGAGAGAATGAGAGACAGAGAGCACGAGAGGGAAGAGGGTCAGAGGGAGAAGCAGACCCCCCAGCTGAGCAGGGAGCCCGATGTGGGGCTCGATCCCAGGACTCC